TCTCTTCCCTTTAATTCTCTGCACTTCCTTCTTGACTCAAGCTCCCCTTCCACTCATCCTTCCTAAGGCTTTGTGTTTTGCCATCTGGTCTGCAACTCTCACTTCCTAATCAATATATTCCCCTCTCCCTTTCGCCTGAATGTTTCCTGTACATCCTTTCCTCTAGAGAATCTTATCATGATCTGAGGACTTTGCTTTGTTGTTAACCTTCTGTTGTTAGCCTTTGTTGTTAACCTGTTCCTCCCTCTTAGTAAGGGAGATGGAGTCAGTGCCTTTGGCACTTTCTGTTTTCAGTGCTACTTCCAGATTATAACTCCTTCACTCTCTTATTAAAACCCTAGCTTTCTAGAGGAATATGTCATATGTCTGGGCTGGGCTGCCCTCTACTTCTACTTTGTCACCATCTACTGATATGAAGTTAGTCCCCTTTTGGCTCCTGGATCACAATTTTCTCCTAATCACAGTTCTGTTATGATCCCAGGAGACATGAAGGAGCATACAAATGACCCGTTCAGCCCCCAGCTTTTCAGTTTCTTCTCTTCCTCCACAGTGACATTACCTGAACTCTTCTTATTTGCCAGACACTTTCACATCCACATCTGATATTATAGATTCAAATATATCATTGTGGAGTATTTCACTCTCCTTCAGCCTATTACTACAGAAGGAAATGTTTGGAATCCTCACTCATCACTCTTTAATGGTCTCATTTCAAGGCAGTCTTACTTCCAAGTCTGCCTCACTTTAGAACCAAGTTCCTTGTAATTGGGCTATAGATGTCACTATCTGAGGTCCTGCTAAACCCTTAGTATTGATGAGATGAAACATCGCCTTTTTTCTAATTTCCTAGAAACTCTTTTTCTTGTCCTATATTTCAGTTCCTTAATAAGGTGGCTTCTGTTTTATTATTCCTATATACATGGTACATATATTTTTAAATAGGATGGCTATAGCCTTTCAAAGAATTCTAAATTTTAGAATTTGTTTAAAGATTATAGGTTACAGCCTCATTGAGTTACTTATGAGGAAACTGAGGCCTAGAGAAGTTAACAGACTTACCTAGTATCTTAGGACAAGTCAAGTACAAAGAAAGATCTCTATCCTGGCACCAAAATACCCCCTCTACATAGTTGTATCTGAGTTGTGATCTTCAAGATGGATTGTAGGGTGAAGGCCTTGGCTGGAGTAAGAGTGAAGTATAGAGAGCAGAGAGGATAATTGTTTAATAAGAAAGTGGTAAGAACTTAGTTTCTAAAAGTGAATATTAGAGAACAGCATTGATCAAGGGTAAAGGTAAGATTTTAAACCTAGGCCTAGGAGAATTTTAAGAGACAGTAATATTAGAGAGATCTTTATTGGATCATAGAGCCATTTTTATTTGATTGTTTTTTATTTATAATTATACAATTTTAAAACTAGAATTTTATAATTTTGTTATTATTAATGTTAGGGCTAATATTTATTGAATGCTTATTATGATCCAGAAAAGTATTGTCTATTACATGGATTACTTCACTAAATTATCACTGCTACCTTATAAGGTATATATTATAATCCCTTCAATTTAAAGATGAGGAAACTCAGTAATGGAGAGGTTAAACAACATTTCCAATCATGCACTGCTAGTATGTGGCAGAGCAGGAAGGTCGAGTAAGGTAGTCTGATTCCACAGCCTCCACTTTGTTCAGTAGATTGTAGACCATGAGCTAGCACTTGGTGAGAGAAGAACCCTGGGGGTAAGGATTCAGGAATCATCAATCCAGAGGCAGGCCATGAGAATGTATGTGTTCTGTATGGGAATCTATAGAAAGGGAAGACTGAGGGCTTAGGACTAATCCTTAGAGGCAATCCACAATTAGGAAGAAATGGAAATAACAAAACAAAACAAAACCAGGAAGTACTGATTAGAGGATTGTAAAAGATGACACCTCATATGGTTTCATCAGGCTAACTGCATAGAGAGTTTCAAGATGAATTGAATGATACTCTGTATTCATAATTATAGAAACATCAAAAAGGAGAAGAGAGGAAATTTGTTGGCTAGATTGATGATGAAGATATTGGTGATGCCTGAGAGGGTGGGTGGAAAAAGGGTTGTAGATACAGGGTTGAAATGGAAACACTGAAAGGTTTAGCAGTAAAATGTGGCATGCACACATAATGCATAGACAATAGGCCCAAAGATTTTTTTTTTTAAGTAAGAGGAGCCATGTGCACACAAAGTGCAGGAGGTTGAATATGTTAGCAGAGAAGTAGATAAATGTGGAAGGAAGGCTCCATGGCTCAAAATAAAAAATTTAAAGAGAATGGAGGGAAAGATTAAAGAATATGAGAAGCTAGAAATATTCAGAGTTGAAGAAAATGTGTTTGTAGGTATTTATGTCAAGTAACTTTAATCTCAGTGAGCTGTAAGTTGTGGTCATTGGCTGATGGTAAAACCTGAAGGGACTATCTATAGAAGAGAAGAAAACAGAAGAAAATAGTATGGAATCCCATTTCCCCTATTCCACCTTTGAGACATATATTTTGCTCCCTTGCTATAAATTCTTTGAGAGTAGGTTTGTCTTAGTCTTTTATCATGTATTGCATAGCAAATTGTTCTGCATATATCGTAGTACATTTTTGTTAAAGTAGGCCTAATTGAAATGGATTGAGATGACTAACAGGGTTGCTTAGAGTAGCATGAGCCCCATTGAAGTTGGGCTGTGTGAATATGAGGTGTGACAAGTAGGTAGAGCTCTGTGTTTCATTGTAGTTGTCCCTGGGCCCTAGTGAAGGAACAGTGAAAGCAGAGAGTGGTCTGGCAAGCAACATGGGAGATCTGGGCTGCTATAAGGGCAGTGTTTGGGCCAACCACATAGTCCAAGTGGTGTGAGGAAGCCTTCTATTGTTGTTGGTGAACTAATGAAAAATAATGACCGGTGCAGGTTTATAGACCACTTGATGGGGATAAAAAAGGAGAATATGTCCAACAAAGAAGTTGTCACTGTAGAGGATCAATACCATGTTTTAGTTTGTTATTTGACTGAACAAAATAAAGGTAATATATATAAGTAAAACAGAAATATCAGATCAGTCTTTTGAATTTTTAATTATGTTGAAGAGAATATAAAAGTCTTATATTGTACCAGAAGATATGTCAATTCATTAAAACAATAGCTGTTTTAATGTTCTTAATTTCTGCATGATGGGTTCAGGGAGAACTGAATATCCATCTAGCTATGCTACTAGTTTATAGAAATAGTGATAAACATACACTCAATTCTTACAAAAATGCTCTTCTAACACACATAGTTATTTTAAATCATACAATAATACAATGATACAGATATTATTTTTAATCCCATTTTATAGATAGAGAAACTAAACTAAGGCACAGAGAAGTTAAGAAACTACAAGGAGTTTGAACCCAGGCAGTCTGACCTTAACTGTATTCTTTACTGTATAGCATATCATCTCCTGTCCAGCCCTTAAATACTGCATTCCAGTGCAATATGAAGGACAGCAAGTTAATCTTTTGATTCAGTCATTCTAGATTAGTTTCTTATAGTGGAGAAAAATGTAATATTCTGTACACTAAATATGAGTCCAACAATTGAAAAGGATTTGTATGCAATTTGACAATTAAATACTTGTAGCAAATTTTGGTTCCATTTGGGCATAAAATTAAATGTTTCCTTCAACATTTATGAGAGTAGTTCTTATATTAGAACTTTATAAATAATTTGTGATAGCTTTTGAATGGTCCTAATATATAGCACATTATTAATTGCTTAAGACCGGGAGATGTAGGCAACAATGGCTGGCTAACTTTTGGAAAAAAAAAAAAAAAAGATAAAAAAAAATAATAATAATAATAAAAAAAGACCAGGAGATGATTTTACTATTCTAAATTGTTTTTTTAATTTTTAATTTTTTTATTTTTAGAAACAGGGTTTAGGCTGGAATGCAGTGGTGTGATCAGAGCTCAATGTAGCCTCAAACTTCTGGGCTCAAGCAATCCTACTACCTCAGCCTCTCAAGTAGCTAGGATTATAGGCTTGCACCACCATGCCCAGCTAATTTTTTAAAAATTTTTTGTAGAGACAAGATCTTGCTGTGTTGTCCAGGCTGGTCTTGAACTGTTGGTGTCAAATGATTGTCCCACCTCCGCCTCTCAAAGTGCTAGGATTACAGATGTGAGCCACCGTGCCTGGCCACTATTCTAAATGATTATAAAAGTTTATAGTTATAATTTCTTTAAGATATAATTTTGGTGACATATAATTCATTTGATGGAGTTTTTGCTCAAGAATATGTTCCCAAACTATGGTCTAACTTCTGTAAGAAGATAGAATCTCCCTTTCAAAAATCTGCGTTGTGATTTTTGATTTATAGGACTATAGTATGACTAAAAACAAAGACAACATGTAAGGAAATTAGAGGAATAACCGAAAGATTACTTGCAGTTATACAAATTATAGAATATTTGGAAACCAATTTCTTGCTAACTGCTTCTCCTAAACTGTTGACTTTTTCTACATAAAGCTTATCCTGGGCCTTCTGGTCAGAAATGAAACTCCCCTGACTGTTTATTGCCCCTCTTTCTTCTCCCTTGGGAATGATCATTGTTGGTTTTCCATCCAACATTTGGGCTCACAGCAGGTTGTCTTGGGATTCTTTCTTGACTTCTAAAACAGCAGTTAGATTAGAACTTACATATTAGTTTGATTGTTTGATTTATTGTCTTTGCGACATAACATTTAAGTACCCTCTACAAACCCAATGATATACAACAGTGTTAAAAATATATTAAAATAATTTAGTTATGCTTTGATAGGAATCATTCAAATTCATGTTACCAACTAATGGAAAAAGCATTGGCATAATTATTTCTTCATTGGATAAAGTATTATTTCCCCCCAAATTATATTATTTGAGGAGAAATTTTTATTTTTGTGTCCTTTATATATCTATTAATGTATAAATCATTAGGTGGCTTCTAAAAATAACATTCTAGCATGAGTTTATATTTGGGAAACTAATTTTCTAGCTAGTCATTGCTTTATAAATTTTGGAAGAGTATTACCTATTCTATTTTCCCCTACGAAATAAAGGCTATTCATGACTTTAATTTTATATTTTGACACAACATTCACTGAACATAGCATACTTATGTTGCAGTATTTAGGAAGTTGGAATTTATTAGAATCAAGAGAAATAGCTGCAGCATCCAAATCGATGAACTGTTGCTGATTCCTTGGTATCTCCAAAGGGAAACCAAGCTTATAAAATCTTGCTAACCACCTTGCATTGAGCTGTCACCTTCAATGTACCTTTGATATACTCGCTTTCTGTTAAAGGGGAAGATGGAAAACAGAAAGTGTATCATTTCATTCACACGGACTTTGTCTGGAAGAGCGGCTGTGATATGATTTCTGTCAGAAACAATCTGCTTGATATTCCTCTGTCTTTGCTTGGGAACACAGAGTGGCTTGTCTGTTTTCTAACCCTGGGTGCTAGGATATGCTGCCTTGTCAAACAGCATTTGTCTTCACTCACAACCTGCTTGTTGAGTGGAGCTCAGCCTCGCCGCAGTGGCAGAGAAAGCCTTAAGGCTGCTCAGCATCTGTCTCTTCATGTAATTAACTGCAGCCCTGGATAGGGAGCAAAACAGAGATTTTGCACTGTGAAAAAGTAATGTGTCTAGACAGGAGTTTCTAAGCAGGGAAAAGATTTATTAGTGTTTCTGTTCAAATAGGAGGACACAATTTTTTGCCTCAAAATGTTTTGAAGGCAAAGGAACCATTTGCTTTCACAGCAAAGATAACTTTAGAAAATTCTCTTAATATACCATAAAAACTCTTTCAAAATCCCTTTACTTGACAATTGTAGCATCAAAAAATAATGGTGGTAATGAATTATAGTTCATTGAACAAAGTAAGAATCCATGAGTCAATACTGACACAAATAAATGAATAAATCAAAGATGGCAGAGAAGCTCTTTCTTACAATAGAATGACAATTAATGCCAACTAATAGATGTTGAAGGAATGAGAGTTAGAAAAATTGTCATTTCACAACTGTCATGGTAATAATTGGTTCAAGCAAGAATCATCAATGGATGCTAATACAAAATGTTGAAAGTTTGCTGAGGATCAGGAGATATACAGTCTCAAGTTATCTCTACACAAATTTTTATATATATATATGTGATTATATGCAATTGGATCTGGGTGATGGATATATGGGAGCTTTTTGTTTACTTTTTGTAACTTTTCTGTAAGTTTGAAACTATATCAAAATAAATGACAAAAAAAAAAATAGAATTTACATACTCTCTTGGTTTTCCTCCTAAGTAATTGGAGCATGGCTCAGTCCTGGACAGGCTTGGCTCTCTTTAACATGATATTAAGAAAAAATGCTGTATGCTACCCAGAAGCTTGACTCACCAGCTGCCAACAAAGCTTCATTAATGTAACATGTTCCACAATCAAAACCTGCTCTCTTGGGAAGAGTGACATACTGAATATTTGCCTTTCATAGAGACTCACTTAGAAACTTGCAGCCAGTAAGGATTCTAAGTGGAATGTGAATATCTGCATGTGCAGCTGCCTGACACATTTCATAGTACCCTTTGACTATACAGAAAAGGGCCCTGAATTTAGAAAATGGAGGCTTGCATTTCTTCCTATATCATTCTTAATAAGCTTGCTTTCAAGAAGTAGAAGGCAAAGAATCCTCCTCTTCTAAGACCTTATTGTGTAACCATGGTAGCTATTATAATATTTAGTCTTTTTTCTCATTTTAAGAGACTAAATATTATAGTAAAGACTGCAAATAGTATTAAAGACAATTATACTAAACTCTTTCCTGGATATTTTTGGTATTGAATTACTACAGAACATTGTGATGCATGAATGAATAGATTCATAATTTAGCTTAAAAGTTGGAATTAAGCAATTCAATATGTGGCTAAAAGAGGAATCATTATTCCCAACCAGCTGACTAGGTGCCCCAAAGTGCTTCTTCATGCAGTGGTGCCTTTGGTGTTTCACTTGCAATTGTTGATGGGCATGACTGCTCATATGTAGCTAGGACAGACAGTCCCTCTTATTTGGAGCCACTGGCTTTGACCAGTCTCTTCTTTCTGGTTGGCGACTAACAGAATTAGGTAGACTTCACTCCCAAGGTGAGAACAAGTCATGTAACAAACCTCAGCCCTTTTTGCAATTTGAGCCTCTGTCCTCTTTGCAATTCGGTCCAGCTTGCCAATGCTGTGAGCCGGTCTAGGGTGTGCTCCTAAGATTATCAATAATTACTTGTTTTATTTGACATTTGTATTTTTGGTGTATATTTTACATTGAAAAAAATACTGTGATTCTTGACTGGTTAATGTCAAAAAAAAAGAAGAAAAAGAAAAAAGGAAAAGTACTTTTAGTTTTATATTTTCTTAAAAATATAAGTTCTCCTACTTCTACCTTTTTTTCTTTTTAAAGATGGAAGTGATATTGTAGGAGTCATATTGTCCAAACTCCTTATTTTAATGATTAGGAAACCGAGTCCAAGGGATTCCCAAGTTGCTAGGGATCCTGCTTATTGGTGAGGCAGGAATTTGAACCAAAGGCTTCAGATTCCCAGGACAGTGTTATGTTCATACGTTGCCACTCTTACCTGTCAAGAATCTGTTTAATTTCTTGGAAATTCTTGGAATAAAAACATAATAATTTTTAGGTAGACTATCTAAGGAAATTAAATTATACATAATACTTTAAAAATTTTTATTTTGAACTAATTTTAGATTTACAAAGAATTGTAAAGATAGTATAAAGAGTTCCTATACCCCCTTCACTAAGCCTCCCCTAATGCTAACATCTGATATAACCATGCTACATTTATCAAAACTAATAAATCAGCATTGTGTATAATAGTATTAGCTAAAGTACAGACTTTATATAGATTTCCTCAGTTTTTCTACTGATGTCTTTTCCTTTTTTTTCTGTTTTTGTATTTAATCCAGGATATCATATCTCCTTAGTCTCTTCTAATCTATGGCAGTTTCTCAAAATTTCCTCATCTTTGATAGCCTTGATCCTTCTGAATAGTGGCCAGTATTTTATAGAATGTCTCTCAATTGGGGTTTGGTTAGAAATGTCTCAAAATTAGACTGAAGTTATGGATTTAGAAGAAAAATGCCACAGAAGTGATATGCCCCTTTCATTGCATTATATTAGGGGTGTACATTATATCAATATTACATATTTCTGCTGATGTTAACCATGATTATTTTGTTAAGATAGTGTCTGCCCAGTTTCTCCACTATCAAATTAACTATTTTCCCTTCTACACTCTATTTATTGGAAGCAAATAGTTCTACCCACATTCCAGGGGAGAGGAATTAAGCTTTATCTCCTGGAGGGAAGTGTATTAAAGAAATTATGGACATAGTTAAGACACACAATAATTAATAAAGATTTGAGGGGAAATACGGTGAGGTTATGCAAATATCCAGTTTCTCCTAAAAGTTCTGCCCACTAATTCAGCATTCATCAGTGGGTTTTGCCCACAGCAATCATTGCTGGGATGTTTTTATGGTGATTTGTTATTTTTCTCATCTTTTTCTACATTGGAATTCTTTTGTAAGGAAGATCTATCGATTCTCCCCCATTTATTAAACCTATTATTTATATCCATATGGACTCCTGGATATTTGCTTTATTATTTGGATGATAATTTAATACTATTTTTATTTATTTATTTTTGCTCAGATTGTTCCAGCTTTCACCATTGGGAATTCTTTCAGGTTGATCTGTGTCCTTTTGACATGCACCATATTTTTCTCCTTCTTTTTTCAACTCTTTCTTATTTTGTGACATTACAAGATGCTCCAGCCTCATCTTGTGTGTTCCCTGCCTAAACATAGAATCAGCCGTGTTACCCAGTAACTCTATTCCCTTTATGGGAGAAGGCTATTTAGAAACCAAGGTCTGGGAACTAAGTGTGCTCATTGTATTGGGGTGTAGGTCCTTTCAGTGAAAAGACTTAGGAAATATATGTGTATATACACCAACCTTTATAAACGTACATATTTATATTTATTTCTGTATCTGTCTGCCTGTATTTATGATAAAATAGACATGAGTTTATACTGATATGTTTTACTCTAATCCAGCACCACAGGGTTCATTCTAACATACCCATCTTGGTTCTTGTAAGGTTATTTGTGATTTCTTTTTTTGACAGTAAGAAACCAGGCTCCTATCATGTATTAAATACAATATATCTCCTTATTTATTCAATTTTAGTACAAATATAACAGTGTCAGAATTGTTAAACCGTACTACTATGTGAAACAAATTTAACTAGAATACTATATTAGTGTGCAATTCTTTTTGTCTTTAGCCTTAGAATATGTAGACAAAACACATGTTTTCCATAGTTATTAGACCAGCTCCTTTATTTTATTACCCCCTCAGTGTGGTTATGTTATACATTTGTTGTATACTTAGATTGATTTGTCAGTCTGCATTCCATCCTGATTCCCCCTAAATTCTTGTCAGTTTTTTTTTTTTTTTTTAATTTGCAGACAGTAAAAGTCACTCTTCTTAGTGCACAGTTCCATCAGTTTTGACAAATGGGTAGAGTCATGTGGTTACTATCCCCATACCTTAAAGAACAGTTTTGATTATCCTGAAATATTCCCTTGCTTGTTTCCTTTGTAATTAACCCCTCTTCTTTACCTCTTTCCCTAACAACTACTGATCACTTTTCTGTCTCTATAGCTGTCTTTTCTGTAATGTCATATAAAATGTAGTCACAAAATACACAGCCTTTTAGGTCTGGCTTTTATTTCACATACCAAATACATTTAAGATTTATTCATATTGCTGTGTGCATGAACAGCTCATTCCTTCATATTGCAAAGTAGTATTCCATTGTATGAATATACCAAAGTTTATTCACCTGTTGAAAGACATCTTGTTTCCAACTTTTGTTGTTTATGAAGAATGCTGCTATAAACATTTGCATACACATTTTTGTGTGAACATAAATTTCTGTTCACGTGCGAAAATACCGAGCAGTGTGATTGCTTAGTCATAGGGTGCCTTAGTCCATTTTGTGCTGCTGTAACAACACATACTGGAGATTGGGTAATTTATGAAGGACAGAAATTTATTTTCTCATAGTTCTTGAGGCTGGGAAGTCCAAGATCAAGATACCAGCAGGTTTGATGTCTAATGAGAGCTGCTCTCTGCTTCCTCACTTGGCAGAAGGCAGAAGGGCAAAAAGAATGAACTCCCTCTGTCAAGCCCTTTTAAAAGGACACATAATCCTATTAAAAAGGCTCTGTCCTCATGATTCAGTCACCTCTCAAATACCATACCTCCGAATATTGCTGCATCAGGGATTAAGTTGCAACATGAATTTTAGGAGGGACAGAAACAGTAAAACCATAGCATATGGTGTGTATTTAACTTCATAAATATCTGCCTGTTTTCCAAAGTGGCTGTGCTATTTTATATTCCCATCAAAAATGAACGACAGTTCTTGTTGCTCTGTGTCGATAGCTCTTGGTATTGGCAGGGGTTTTGGTTTCTTTGTTTTGTTTTAGCCTTTCTAATAGGTTTATAGGGGTATCTCATTGTGGTTTTAATTT